ACACACACACACACACATACACACACACACACACACATGCACACACACACACACACACACGTTTTAATGAAAGAAGCCCGTATGCATGTTCTGCCAATGACAACACTAAGAGGTACTAGTAATAGGTCAATCTGTGCTACACTGTAATTATATCTGGTACTAAATGAATCTAAATAGCCTGGCAATTATACATGAAAGTGCAAGCAACAACAAACAGCTGATAGAGATTACTATGTAAGAGCTAGATCGAGACGTGCTTAAATCTATTTTTGTAATTTTGGCAGTGTCAAAGATTTCGTCGTTTGTATGACTACTCTATCATGGACCGACTATTCTTTCTAGATCTGTTGAAAGTAAAGAGCCTAAACTCCTTGGAGCCATACAAAGTAGCCACTCGATTGTTTTTGCAAGTGATGAGCGGATCTTTCCATTCATGACTATATTGACAGCAGCATGGCATTTTGTATTCCTTAGAAAAAAACAAACAATTTTACAGAACGGCTAAGAAGAAAAACAAAGAACAAAACGGAATAAGAAAACAAATTATTTGCAATTCTTTTCTCCAGTAAATTTGTAAAAACTGCACAACAAGCCTACATGTATACTGTGTATTGTTTTTTTAAAAATATATATAATGACGGCAGCATTCACGAGGAATCACTGGGATATTGACAGAGTTGCAGTGTGCATTGTTCTCTCACGATAAAATCTATCAGAAGAAAAGTCATGATCTTAAGGGTTACCGTACTCAAGGAGATCCAGATTAAAAGTGCTAAGCTCCGAGGGTGTTATTGCATCTTCGGCCAGCCGGGGATGTCGTTTAAATTGGTAAACGCTTCAAAAGTAATAGTAGTCGTTGAGAGGAAGCTGTCGAACTGCTACCCCTGATAATTGGTGTCACAGCCACAGGTGATCTTTGCCTCGCAGGCCGTACTAGACTCTAGAAGTAAACTAATAAACGGTCTCGGTTCTCCTCACTTGTTATTTCGAAACACTTGAGTTGTTGATATTCTCACGGTGAACTAGTGGCTTGATACGCCTGTCTCTTATCTAGACTTGTTCTTATTTTCGACTGAGTTTTTGGTGTTTCTTTGGATTTTCTGTAACTTCTGGCCGCCTCGAAGTTTCGTTACGGGGACTGGGACTAACTACGAAAACACCGATTAGATCTAAATCAACATTTCTCTCGTTATCCCCCTTGTAAGTAATTTCGACCATGGTCAATGACATCACAACTTAGGTCTAGTATTATATCAGTGTATCGATCAGTCAAGAGGTAATTTTTCTCTGTTGATACGGCTACTGTTTTTTAAGGGTTTTTAAAAATAAATTCTTTTATGTCTGCGTCAACGTGAGTACACATTCGAAAGCTGGAACGTTTGCCTTTGACAAAATCAAGTCAATCAAGTCGACGATCTCCAGCAGGCAAGGCCAAGATATCTAGAATCTAGATCTATACAATCTAGCGTGTGTTAAGTTTTACTCTTACAAGTTATTTTTTTGTTTGTATGTGTGGGAAAGGGGGGGGGGGTAAAATTCAAAGAGTTAAAAATGTGTGGGAGTAACCCTTCTCTTCTTTCAATCTCCAGGACTCCAGGGTCTGCCGATTATTAGCCTACTTGATTACTAATAATAGCTGAGGTATATTATTAGGCTATTATGGACTTCATTTTTCGAAAAGAAATTTTGGTGCATTCTAAATTTTGGCTTGAGATCCTCACCTTGCTCACTGAAAAGCGATATGCCAAGTAATTCAGCGTTAAATAAATTTGGAAGGAATGAGTTGTATGTAGGTCAAGGAGGTTGAATTAATATTATGCAATTGTAAGGTCCTTAAGGCCTATAGATTTATAACTCGAGCAAAAATTAAAAGCCTAAATTATGACTTTGAGTTTGAGAGAGGAAAGGCAATAATTTTGGAATGTCGGTTCGAATCTTGTCTCGATCCTGTGCTTATCTGTCACTGGCCCAATTTAGAATTATGTGGACCAGGCAAGGATGGGCCTCGGGGCCCAGTCCACCAAAGAATCTTTAACTTTGAGTAGGAGGAGCTAGGCCCAAGCCACATAATTCTACACTTAGTGTAGAATTCTGTGGCCCAAGCACAGAGGATTTCCGAGTCCACGGCGTTTGGTCTGCTAAAAATAGAAGGAAATAGGTCACATGACGTGACATGACATGATCATGTGATTTCCTAAAGTGTTGGAGGAAAGCAAAACAATGGATAGGCTAGCGGATAGGCCTAGGCTAGGCTAGGCTATGTGAAAACTGTATTTCTGGGGCATGCTTAGGTCAATGAACTGTGGTCACAGTTAGCATGACTCGAGTCCAGTGTCACAATACAGGTGTCACGGTACCACTCGCTGGAGTTGATCACACGTATGCCTTTCTCTTCAAACTGCCGGTGGCTACTCACCCGAGAGTCGAGAATTTTCGGCCCAGTCTTGCAAGACCAGCTTGAGTGTGGCGAGTGTGACTGTGAGTTGTGAGCGTGAGCAGACGCGAAGCATCATGGCAACGGGCGGTGTAGATCTAGTTGAAGTTGAAGATTGGCGCACGACGAACCAAGATTTCCACTATGACAAGTGGCGAAAATGCAACGTTTGTGACCACGGCTATAAAGCGCCCGTCGCCCTGCCATGTCTGCATACAGCTTGTTACAATTGTCTGCTCAGGCATATTCACGTTCAGCGGATACAGGTACGCCACGTAAATAGCTCTAGAAATAGAACAGTGATCGGAATAACTTCTAGAAACACTGGACTATACTTTCCCCTTTTCATTTTTTCAACAGGTTAATAGGCTAATCGTTACATAGATCTAGTAAAAAGATCTCTACTGCTCTCCTTACTTTTCCTTCCTGGCTTTTTTCTAGATCTAGATCTACATGTATGTGCTTTTGTTCCGTGCACTTATATTTAAACTATTACTCGAAGTACTGTGTTGATGCCCTTTTTTCCTTAATAACTTGAACTAGATCTAGATATAGATCTAGATCTAAACTATGGCTTGCTCACTTTTGTCTGTAAGGATTTTAAAATTCTACTTCATTTATTTATTTACCCTTGCCCATGAAACTTTGCTTGGCACTTCTGCGCAGGCCAGCAACCAAACAAAATAATATATAGGCTGGCTCTATATCTCAGAATGTTTGGGAAAAT